GCGGGGGCGTGAGTTCGACCGCCGAGACGGGCCGGCAGCCCAACCGGGTGGCATCCTCGACGCGTCGGACGGGAAGTGGGTGGATGCCCAGGCTGTTCGCCGATCGCTTGCATCCAGGACCACGGGGCTCCCACGCTGGAAGGCCGCTCTAAAAAGCCCGAGCCCACGACCCCCAGTGGGAAGCCCGCGGAGTATCACCAAACGAGACGATCAGGTACTTTCAGGTCACCTTGGGGCGCGTCGTTCGCAGCCGTCTGGCACGCCTTTGCCGAGCACCACTCTGCCCCTGGCACCGCGCGCGCGCTTTCGACCCACGTCGGCACGATCAGCGAACCTGCCTCGCCATCCTGACCTCACTTCGCAGCCGCAGCTGCGATGCTCGGGCCACGAGCGATTCATTGGGCCTGGGCATCGACTGGGCGCAGGTGCGTGGACAATACCTGGGACACGTCGGCGCGAACAGGGGGCGCCAGGCACCCCAGCGCGATGGTCGGGGTCTCGCGGGCGCCGACACTGGCCGCTCGCTGTGTGGTCGGAGCGCTCTCGGGCGAGGTCGGGCCCTTGACGTAGGAGGCGCGGTCGTCTGCCTCCAACCCCCCGCGTCGACGGCGTCTGCGAGCTGTCAGCACCCTACCAGAGAATCAGAGCGCCTGGCGCGCGCGTCAGTGCACACAGGGCGATGGTGAGCTCCAGCTCCCCCCCCCCCTTTCGCACCGCGTGCATGGCGCGCACTCCCCCCCCCCCCCCTTTCTGCATCCGAATGCTGCAGCGGTTAGCTGCCGCGCCGGGGTGCCTGCCGTGCTTGGCGTGCACTTCCCCTCCTTTCCTCCTTCCTGCGCCTGGCGTGCACTTCCTTCCCTCCCCTCCTGCTCCTTTTGCTGCAGCGGTTAACTGCCACACCGTGGTGCCTACCGTGCCTGGCGCGCACTTCCCCTCTTCTCTTGCTGCTTCCTTTCTTTCTGCCTGGCGTGCACTTCCCTCCCTCCTGCATCCTAGTGTTGCAGCGGTTAGCTGCCGCACCGGGGTGCCTATCGTGCCTGGCGTGCACTTCCCCTCCTTTCCACGTGCACCCGGGTGCTCCCCCTCCTCTTTCACCGGGATCTTTCCTGGCGGGTGGGGTCTGCTGCCAATGCTGCTTCCTGATGGCGTTCAGGTGGTCTGGAATTCATGCAAGGGCTCACACAGGGAATGGCGCTGCCGCACATTCGCTGGGGTCAGGTGCCCCCTGACCTGCTCCTAGTGACACCGTAGGTTCCAGTGGGTAGCTTGCTACATTGTCTACCTTGCGGTGCCTGGACCTCGGTTTCGGCAGGGGTGGCTCTGTACGCTCGTTGGCCGACGCTCTCCTGCTTGGATTTTGTTTTCGACAAGTGTTACAGCATGTACTGCCGTTCGCAGTCTTGTTTTGGAATTCGTGCAAGGGTTAACACAGGGAGTGGTGTTGCGTCGCACTCTGTGAGGTCAGGTGCCCCGGGGTCCGGAATTCATGGAATGACTCCCGCGCGGAAGGGTGCTGCGTCGCCGACGCTGAGGTCAGGCGCCCCCTGGCTTGCTCCTGGCTGGCGTCGGCCCCCAGCCCGGGAGGTTCCAGTGGGTCTCTCGCTACACTGCCTACCTTTACGGTACCTGGACCTGGGGTTCGGCAGGTGTGGCTCTGTACGCTCGTTGGCTGACGTTCTCCTGCACGGATTTCGCGTTCGGCAAGTGTTACAGGTTTACTGCCGTTTGCAGTCGGTTCGGTGATGAGATTGCCCCTCTTCGCTCCTGCGCCGACACGATGTTTCGGCATTTGTTTCGCCTACTTCACGGATGTCGTCTGGGTGTGCCTGTCGGTCCAATTCGTCTGCGACGGTGTTCGCCTGATTCACACCGAGCGTTCAACCTCTGCGCGTTATGGCCGCGCCGCCGCGCCATTCTGGTTGCGATTACTTGCTGGTCGCCACCGGGATTCGCGCCGCAGCGCCATTCTGGTTGCGTCTACTCGCTGGTCGCCACCGGGATTTTCGGACGACGCGCGGAATGGGTATACCAGTTCTTTTCGCCCGTCTGAGCTGACGCCCTACTGCGCCTGTCTTGCTTGTCCGGCTAAAGCTTGGACGCCTTCTGACCCGCTCCACGAGGCCGTTGACCAACAAGTATCCCCACAAGGCTTTGGTTATTCGGCTCTTCTCGCTCTTTTCGTGCCTTTCGATATTTTTCCTCTCCCGCCGCGTAGTTGTCCTCTCGCCGCCCTTTTCCAGCGCCCCACTTGTGGCTGCTCGGCTCGCGTCTTGCTTTCGATTTTCTCGACGGTGCGCGGTGTGCTCCGCGTCACTAGCGATCCAAAAATATCCCCACCATCCCGTTCAAAAATCTTGCCCATGAGAAATGTCGAGAAAAAGGGACGAATAGACACATAAATCACGTACTGCGAAAAAGAGCGGGCAACCAGGATGGACAATGATATCCCTGGGAGCAAAGAGGGTGGCATTGGAAGGCCTCTTTGGGCCATCTTTGGGGCCCCAGGGGGAACAAGGGGAAGAGGAGGAGGAGGAGGAAGAGGAGGCACACCGCCCCTTGTGACCCTCGTGGGACGCTCTTTGGGCCGTCTTTGGGCCGGTTTGGGGCCCACTTGAGGCCCTCTTGGATTTTTCTTTGGGCCCACATGAGGGCCCTTTTGGGGTCCTCTTGGGGCCCGTCTGAGGGCCATGTGAGACCGACCTCTTGGGGCCACCATTTAGACCATCGGTCAAGAAAAATTGAATCCTCGATTTGCATTCCCCGTCCGGGGCCCTTCAAATCGCCTCTTGGGGCCATATTGGGGTCATCTTGGGCGCTTTTGGGGCTGTCTGGGGGCCCTCTTGAGACCCTCTTTGGGCTCTATTGGGCCATCTTGATGCAACCTTAAGGCCTCATTAGCGCATCGGACGCGAAAAGGCGAGAAGGCAACACTCACTCATTCACCCTGGGTTTTTGCAGGATTAGGCCTCTTGGAGGAGTCCTGAGGGGGCCCCGGGAGCACTTTGAGTCGTCTTGTGGCCTTCGCTGGGCCTCATGGGCGTGTGTCGGAAACCATCTTGAGCCATGTTCGGCTATCTGGATGAGGAGGAGGAGGAGGAGGAGGAGGAGGAGGAGGAGGAGGAGGACGGGGGAGGAAAAGGAGGAAGAGGAGGAGGTGGAGGAGGAGGAGGAGGAGGAGGAGGAGGAGGGGGAGGGGAGGGGGAGGAGGAGGAGGAGGAGGAGGATAAGGAGGAGGAGGAGGGGCAGGGGCAGGTGGAGGAGGAGGAGGAGGAGGAGGAGGAGGCGGAGGAGGAGGAGGAGGAGCGGGAGGAGGAGGAGGAGGAGGAGGAGGAGCATCTCAGACGAAACATGACCCTCAGACACCTTGCGCCACCCAGAAACAGCTTCAGGGAGGGAGATAAAGAACTCGTTAGACCACCTGCGCTTAGGTCGGGCCTGTCCTCAACAGGGGCGATGTGGACGAGAAATACACAATATTCAAAACATGTACCCAAATAGCAAAAAAAACTGTCGTACCCAGATATTTTTGGACGATGTTTGAATATCCATCCTGTAAAAGGGACAGGCCCGACTTAAACCTACGTCCAGAAGGTTGGTGGAATTAAAGAGTTCTGCGCGGGCACCACGTATTCAAGCGCAGCGAAAACAGTTCGAGGCAGAACATGCATGCGCAGCGGAGGCAGCCCCTTCGCCTGGACTCGGACTCGGCGGGCGTGGACTCCCAACCCGCCCGATCCTGGGCCCAAGACCCGAGGATCTGGCATCGGTCTCCAGGTCAAGATTCTGGCGATCGCAAACATGGATTAAAGGGGCGTGGATAAGCGAACGGTCCCATGCCCTTTGGAAAGTCGCGTATTTCCGCCGCCGAGCGAGGCGGCACCGGCCGCATTTGGGGGAGGGCACCTCTCCGGATCCATGGATTTGGCGACCGCGCGCCAGATCCATGGATCGCTAATCCATGCTTGCGCGCCCCCGATCTGCAGGCGTGGACTCTCAAATCGCCCGATCCTGGGCCCACGACCCGAGGATCTGGCACCTGGCTCCAGGTCAAAATTTGGAGTGCTGGCAAGGGGAGCAGTCAGGAGGGAAAAAACACACACAGACACAGGAGAATAGGGGAAACTATGGGAAGTGGGGGGGACGACGAAAATCCAGAAGATATGGAAAAAGCTGGGGAATCCTGGGACTTGTGTGCATCTATCCGTGTGTCCCTGGGCCCCTTGGAGCATACGGGCCCCCTGGGCGCTCCAGAGTCCAGAGTTGCTCCGATGCATCGGCGATGAGACTCGATGCCCGGAGGGTTCCAAAGGGGGTGTTGGGGGAGGGGGTTTTCCAGGAGGGGTCCCCAGGGGCTTCGCACCCCCTGTCTTGACGAGGTTCCGAGGCCCCTGGGGGGCTCTCTGGAAGACCCCCTCCCCCAGAATCCCCTTTGGAACCCTCTGGGATGCGGAGCCCGATTTGCTTCACGTCGACGTCGCCGATGCATCGCCCACATCGGCGGTACATCGCTGGTGCATCGCCGGTGCATCGCCGATGCGGCGCGATCCTCCGACCCTATCTGGGAGGCCTCTAGGCCCGCCATCCTCGACGCCATCCTGTCGCGATTTCGTCGTGGTCGTGGCCGTCGTCACTGTCGTTATCGTTGTCGATCTCGTCGCCATCCTGTCGCGATTTCGTTGTAGTCGACGCCGTCATCGTGGTCGTGGTCGTTGTCGATCTTGTCGTCGCCGTGGTCGTGCCCTGAGATCCGATGTTGCAAAAAAGTGCAACGTCGTAAGATATCCCGACCAGAGCCCCAGACCCCGTCTTCGTGCGTCCTTTTTCAAGGCGGATCGATCTGCGAGGGTGCCGGGACCCGAAATTGAGCGAGAGCGCCCGTTGTGAAAAAGCTGCAACGCCAGGACCTCGGGGTGGTCGTCGGCGATGTTGTCTCGACGTGGATCGCGCCGGCGGGGCCCTCCCCAGCAGACCCCCCGCGGCCGGGGCAGACGTCGCGGCAGGTGGAGCCAGCTGGTTGCCGCCCCTCGTCCGGCTGGTCGCCTTCAGCCCCGCGTCGCCGCTCGACATCGTGGGGGGGCTCAGCGGGCCACGCAGGGGCCCAGAGCTCGGGAGGAGGAGGTGCCGACACCGCTGCCCCTGCCTCGCTCTCGCCTCGCTTCGGGCCTCTCGGGAGGCGCTCGCCACCACGATGGAGTTCGCCCCGGGGTCCTGGTCAGAGCGCACCCCCCAGGAGAGGGCTAGGGAGTGGCGGTATCGGTATCTCGTGGGCTCCCCGCAAAGTGCCCGAGCGGGGGCCAGGGCAGGCAGCAGTCAGCAGGCCCCCCCGGGGCAGCCCGAGCTGGGTCGTGGGCGAAAAGCATATCCGTATCCGCGGCATCGCGGGCTGGGTCCTCGGGCCGCGACCCCGCGGTCACGTGGCCTTTTTTTTGCGGATGCCCCGCGCGGAATGTATCCCTGCGACCGCGTATCCGCGGGATCGTTCCCCGGGGCCGCGAGGGCGCGGATATAGATCTGTTCGCCGCTCGTGACGGTTACCAGGGCAGACAATTGACAGCATGCCCCTTCGCGTCGATGGGAAAGCACTACAGAGATTGTGTGCCAAGCTGCGGCCTCTGGAAGCCAGTAACGGGCCCAGGGCGTGGACAGCATGAGTCAGGATGAAACTTCCGTCCCGGGAAGGGGTCGAGTCCTCTAGTGATCAATGGTGCGACAAGATCATGGCGTCGGGGGTCCTGGGATCTGGCCCCAAGACTGCAGTACACCTCGCCGATGCATGGCCAGTGCGGCGCGATGCGGAGGTCGACGTTCTACACCTTGGCGACGCCGATGAGTCGTCGAAGCGCTCTTGTCCTGAGTCTCTGCTTGCTCTCAGCCCCATCGGTTCGGCCTCCAGTAGAGGGGGAGGACGATGATATCACCCGTCGGCGGGGCTGCTTCCTGCATCATGCTGGCATCTTGAGGTGTTCCGAGGCGTTCTCGGGGGCTCTCGAGCCCGAGGGCGTGTCCTATGCAGCAGGCCCGCGCCGTCTCGTCGCGGGGGCAGCGCTGGCGCGGGCTGTCAGAATCGAAGACCGCTGGCGGCCGTTGACGACCCCTGGCGGCGGAGGCCGTGCGCACGCCGGGCGATGCACGTGGGTGGCGGGAGCCAGGGTCCAAGCCACCATGACGGGAACTTGCTGCGCCCGCTTGGCGTGTGTTGTTTTTTTTGTCGAAGCCGAGTACGGCGAGCGGCGAGAGAGACTTAGCATCGCTGGGACGTGTGCATGGTTCTGGGCGGGGAGCATTGAGGAGCATTTTGGGTCACAGAGCCCAAAAAGCACGCACGCAATCTGAACATGCACGGGGAATCGACGTCCGAGCGATGGCGAGGAGAGAGAGGGGGAGCGTGCTGCGTTTGTTCTCCACCCATCTGTTTTGGGTTGTGAGCCCTCCCGCCAGCTCTGCATACCGCGCCGCCAGGCCCAAATGCCAAGAAATACCCTGCATGCCTCCAGGATTCCCTGGGTTTCTTGGGTTTCGATGGTTTTGCTTTGGAAAGCGTGAGACGTGCCCGCACCAGGTATCAGTGGACGCCCTGGGGTCTCAGGGTTGGGGTTCTTGTGGAAGGCGTCTTGTGGACTGGCCTCCACTGCATCCCACCTCGCCAACCCCGCATACCTCTAGGACCCCTAGATGGGGTCGGAGTAGATGGGGTCGAAGAGTCGCGCCGCATCGCCGATGCGGCTCGAGATGCGGAGTCCGCTTTTCTCCACGCCGACGGCGCCGATGCATCGCCGATGTATCGCCGATGCGGCGTGGTCCTCCGACACCATCAGCTCCGACCCCATCAAGGAGGCCCCGTAATACCGCGGCCGCCAGGCCCACCCAAGCCCCCCAGGTGTCCGTGAGCATCCCCCCCTCGCCGAGGCCCCACCAGGGAGGCGACGCGCCGTCCAGAGGGTGGCGTCCAGGCGTCACGCCGCCCACCGACATGTGGTCGTTTTTGATGCGTTGCTTTGCCGACCGGCGTGGGCCCTCGCATTCCCCCCCGCCGCCCTGGAGGGTTTCTCCGAAGGGCTTAGGCGACCCGTCCTCCGCCTCCTCCTCCTCGTCCTCCTCCTCCACCTCCTCCTCCTCCTCGGGTCGCCTACGGCCCCGGGGGAAACCGTGCACCCCTCCCCTCTTCTCTTGGAGTAGATCTTGGTTGTTTTGACGCCTGTTTCGAGCAGGTGGAGTCCCTTCACAGGACGCATGTTTCCAAGCAATCGCATTAAGCAGGGGTCTGGAGCCAAACCCCCCCCCCGCTTCCGCCCAATATCGAAACGCCGAATTAAACAAAACGCTCACCATTTAGAGTAGATAGCGGGATCAGGTATTGAAAACGCGCACCTGCACCGTACAACAGGAGCATGCAGCGAGAACACGTACCAGTAATGTCCATCCAGGGCGCATGGCAGTTACAAGTATGAAGGTGGTACATCAACAACGCGCACAACCTACATATATATATATATATATATTATATATATATATATATATATATATATATATATGTATATATACGTATATCTTTATATACATGTATATAGCATGAAAAGCAGACGACAAACACTGAAACGCAGACCACAAACACTGAAACAACATCAGTATATATAGGTATACAGCATCGTTGATGTTCACCACTGTAACACATGGCGCGTACACTCCAATAACACGCACACCTCCAATGCACACACCAAGGACATACCCCAGCTTCATGCATCAACTTCATCAGCCAATACTTGGCGTCAGTATAACTAAGCACACGGGCCATGCACCAAGGACAGTCGTGACTGGCTTAATCATACGGCAGCTTGCAACATACAGCGGGAATTTGCGCTTCGACGATGCACCATGAACATGCTATGCGTATCATACAGCTGCAACCTACTCCAGGCCATACACCAATGATGCCCAACATTGTCGTGCATCACGATAGTGGGCCAAGGACGTACAACGAAACGGGCATCGTAAAAACACGCCATGAGGATACGGTGGTGGCATCCGCCGACAATCGCATGCATCTGAAGCGTAACATCAAGGACAGGCCAGTGACATCCAGTTGGGGTATACAGTCGCATTAGGTCGGACATGTCCCCCTACTATGAACGGACCAAGGCCCCCGAAGTCTTTGATGGCAATAAGACTGAGAAGTCATAGAAACATCTGAAATGTTTCCCACACCGCTGCTGGGATGACTCAGGAGCCCTGAAGAGGTTCAGGCCAAAGTGCAAATGTACGTTCGCTATGCTACAGTCATGATCTTTACAATAACACGATGTACAGCGTATATCTCACACCCGTGAAAGAGTAAAACACAAGACAGGGGAGAAACCCTCCTTTCAATATGAAGTGTGAAATCTAGAACTCCACTGATAACCCCGTTCTGCACACACTTCAGAAATCGCATAAACAAATTGCATAATTATGGAATGTAAAACTTGAAGATGCAAGCTGACTATGACATGCTTAAACTGCATAAGTATGGACAGCATAATTGGCAATAAAACCTGAGCGTACAAATCATATGAAGCTGCGCTGGTGCGTTGGATTACTCACTGCAGACCTTAGGGCTGTCGTCTGCTACCTGATTGTAGTCGTCCTGCCGCTCGCTGGGTCCGGTCGTCTCTGCTGAAGCTTTGCCTGCACGCTTGAACGCGTTCATCTTTTGACAAAGCCGCCACTGATCTCCTTGCAAACTGTAGGTAACCATACTCTGTACGCCGACCGTCCGCCGTCGCGCCTGCTTGTGGTTGCTTCTCGTCTTTTTGAGGTGGATGGTCGTCTCCTTGTCGATGCTGGTCGTCGCTGTCTATTCGGTCGTCCCGCGCTTGTTGCTGGTCTCGGTCTGGTACTTCACATTGGAGTCGTCTCGATGCTCCATAAACGCTCGCAATACATAGTAGACTGCTGGAAATGCCACTGCCATTCCAATCAGTGTAAATGTGAATGCGTCCAAACTGCCTCTAGAAAACCACAAACACTGGGCGATCTCGTCATAGTAGTACTTGTACTCTGTGTTGTAGTCGATCTCTGGAGTGTAGGTTGCCGCTGACTTGCAACAACACGTTGCAAAACATTGCCATTTGCATTGGTGGTGATCTTGCCTTACTAGCTGATGATGTCTCCATCTTACTCCTCCTGATCATCTCCTGCCGCCGTATAGGTAGGTCGTGCTGTCGCTGAAGTCGCCCTTCTCGAAGTCTGTCCACGAAGAGTTGCCTTGCCGCTAACTTCGCGAGGCCATCTGCATACTGACGTCTTGATGGGGCCCACTTCCATCATGTATGCGTAGCCTCCATCCGTTCTCGTAGTGCCAAAACCTCGATGCTGGTGCGCTTGTCCTGGAAGCTGGTGATACTCTCGTTCTTGGCTGCGTCGTAGAGCGCCTTCGCGTTGATCACGGGCGCTGACTCTCCTGCGTATCGCGTGCTCTCGTCAACGTTGACGTTCGCGTTGTCGTAGATGAGGGTTGCCCAGAATCGCTTCGCAAATTCTAGTGCGTCCATGCCTGCTGCCGCTGCTTAGGGTTCTGCATGTAGTTGCAATCTGGCGAGTCTCGTCAACTTGAAGGACTTCCAATCAACAGCGCAGAAATCTGAATCCTCTCCATCAAGTACTTCCGAGTGACATGCCATGATCACATACTGTCCTTGATTAGATCCGTCTTGTCGTACTCCCCAAGCTGCGTCCGTCGTCATCGCCGCGAGCACGGTGTCTCCGATTTTGCCAATCTTCTTCATCTTGAGGCCGACGTCCGCGTTCTGCTGGTAGAACCTTAGCGTCTGATTTACCTCTCTTGCTGTCTCCACTGTCGCAGTTGGAAGCTGCCCTTGGCGAATGCTGCCCTATGCTGGCGCGCGTGGGTACGCTTGCGAACTTGGCCACTGTAGAGCTCCAAGTCGTCCTCGAAGCTGTCGTATCTCCTTTTGCGTGAGTAGTCGGTCGTTGTTGCCGTCCTTCTGATCAATCGTGATCGGCTTGAGGTTGGAGGCGTAGGACTGCATCTTGATGTTGGTCGCAGTGCCGTTGGAGTGCTTGTTGTCCCAG